AATTATTCAAGAATAATTGGTCGTGATCAAGGAGATCTCAAAGATCTTGATCATTCTAAAACAAACTGGATTAGTATTATCTACCTTGTACTAATTCAAAGAGGGCATTATTTCTTCTCGAATCATTATATTACTCATTGAAATTTAATGAATAATATTTCCAGAAAACGTTTTCAAGATTTTCTATAAAAACATGTTGGATTTTCCAATCGTTAGCCAATTAGATCTGGTATCCAAGGTTGAGAAGCGAAACGCTTTTCTTGGTTGCCCCACGGAGCCCTGATTTCTACGACGATACATGCTTTTCTTAAATCAGTGAATGTTATCAATTGTTTTCAACAACTGATCGAGAGTAGTTTCAATATTACAATGTGTGTTATTAGCACATGTTTCGATTAGATGCACATAACAATTTAGAAATTCTTTTGCCTTGCCATCGCTTTTCATTTCGTGTGCAAGTGAGATGTCCAATTGACCGTCACCAGCACAAGTGACATACAGAACTATCGACGAACGATAAAGGCTACAATTGTTGATAACATGTAAACCACGCAATTGTATTTCGCCATGATTGTATGCACTCGAAAATGGATATTTACCAATATTGGAAAACGCTAATTCCGAATGACGTCCTTCATACAAGAGTCGACTGAACCGATCGAATTTATGTTCATGGCTTGCAATATCTGTAAACATCTTCATGATTAATGGAACACCAATTCGACTCAATTGATTTCGAGTGATTGTCATACATTGATGTGCGAATGACCAAAATCGAGTTGATCGCATTGAAAATGATCGATTAAATTTCACTTCACCGATACCGACAAAGAAACCAACAGATGATGATGTAAGAGGAGATCGATTAAGACGTGAACGCATATCGAAATTGACACCAATTCCGAATGGCTTCAATCGAGTATTATTTACGAGTGGAAAACAATAATGAATAGCCAATAGAAGACAGGCGAAAAGTGGCCCATTGAGTGTCATATTATACAAATGGCACTGTTCGTGTAAGTTCAAATAGAGATTGGATGAACTTGAGGCGAATAAAAATTTGATTCTGCATCGTTGAACAAGAAATCTTGATGGTCCACAATCAAGATGAGGTATTGCTTCCACTGGAATACGTGGTTGCATCAATTGACGCAGCTCATATCTGAAAATTTGCTTGGCAATGAACGATAGCAACGGATACAAAGGACCAAATGGTTTTCGAATCATTTGACTAATCAATGGAAGAATTTCGTTATTGACTGGCTCTGATTTTGAGAGTAAATGGGGATCAGTGGCCAAAGTTAAAAAGTCATGGATAAGTATGTATCCACTTCGACCATCGGAAGCACAATGATTTTCGAAAAGAATCAAATGAAAGAGATTATCATTAGACTGTGGTAAATTGAACAGCAACATAAAATCGAAAAGTGGAAAAATCATCGTTCCATTGTTCGAATATGGATCTTGATTGCAACGAAGTTCAACTATCTCCTGCCACGAATGATTACTTGCTTCAATAGTGGAAAAGAACAAATTGCTTGATAAATATTCACTATTGTATTCTAAAGTGTCAAGTAGATATTCATTTGCGTCTACTCGAAGACGTGCTCGCATGCGAGAATGACGTTGTAGTAGGCATTGAATGGCATATGAAGCATTTTTTATCAATGTCGAATGATTGCCACTCAAATGAGCAACATGCGCAATAGTTGTCCAGCTACCATGTGCACAGAAAAACTTCTCGAAACCATCGATAGTTAATGTGGAGAGCACCACATAAGACATTTTAACATCTTATCTTTTCAATCAAGTGCTTCTTTTTCAACGCATTCATTAACAATGAAAAGTAAGAGAGTCTCATGGCCATTCTTATCTTTTTGCCGTTCTCTACGAATCAGAGTATAAGATACAAAAAAAACAAGTTTCGTAGACTCTTGAAGATTCTTGGTTTTTTAGTTTTGCATACGAATAGAAAAATTCAAATCTTCCGTATAATTCGCTCTAGAAATAAGAATGAAACTTTTATCGAACACAGGCATTGTTGGGTTAGACAATGCTTTTCTGCTTACGCCGAGGACAGTCGATTGTTTTAAAAAGCAAAAAATTAATCGTGATACGGTGAGCAACCAGGCGGACATATGTGAAAGTATTCTTTTCCAGAATCAAACGGTTTGCGTAGATACATGCATATGTGACCTATCATTTTCTAAAATAGCGATTCTCAAAGTTTTATAGATTCTAAGAAAAGAGCCTCTCAAGGCTCGGACCCAGAAATCAGTATAAATAAAGAAAGTCAAGCCGCTCGGCAATATAACACAATATTCCACCAGCAAACAATGTCGCAAAAGACTTGCTCACATATGGATTTTATGGTAAAAAATTATCGCAATGCAATTTAAAATAGAGTAGAAAAGGGTGTGGGTGTGGGGTGGGATGTGAAGTGTGGGTGTGGGTGTGGGTGTGGGTGTGGGTGTGGGTGTGCCGGTGTGAGTGTGCGGGTGTGGGGTGTGAGTATGGGTGTGGGTGTG